TTTATAGTTACTACAAGGCTGAGCGATAATTAGAAATGAAAACGAACTTTTTGAAAATAATAGTATACATATAGCCTATGAATAATCATTGTTACATGTGGTCATGTAGATCTTACATATGCATTTTAAAATCATATATACAACAATTAATCTTGTGTTTTACTCTTTCCTTTTTATTGTCATCCACTAACATAATGCGATGTACAAACAATTATATATATTACTATAGCTGTGAGATACAAGCTTCTTAATAGAGAAATTTTCACATTTTATAGCTTACTAGTTTGACTTATTAGTGATAACAGATTTATTTTATGTTATGACAGTTTTTTTTTTCTTAACAAAAATCTGGAGTGTGATAGCAGATTTGTTATATAAAAATATAAATTGCTAGAATGACATATATTCACAACCGAAATATTTTATGTTATGACAGATTTTTTTTATATTATGACAGATTTCAGATAGACTATAAAAAAATCTGTCGTATGATGACAGTTTTATTGATGAAAATAAAATTTTAATCTGCACAATAAGGTAATGACAGACATATTCTTATCGCGACAGACTTATTTATAATAAGATGGTTCATGTGTGGCTGTCTCCTTGTTAATATATGATAAAGATAATTTTTTCTTCGTTTTTATATATTTTTTCTTTTTAATTTTTTTTTGTATTTTTTTGTTTTATTTTTTTTGTTATGTATTTTTTTTTCATTTTAATTTTTTTGTCGTTTTGTAATTTTTTTTCTAATTTTTTAATTTAATTTAGTTATTATATGTTAATTATTTTATTTTAATTGAATTGAAAATAAAATGGGTAGTTGTTTTCTTTTTGTTTTTTTTTTTTCTTTTCAATTTATATATATTTTTCATTTGTATTTTTTGTTTTTTTTTTCAATTTTCGTTTTTTGGTTTTATATCTTTTTGTTTTTTATTTTTTATTTTTTATTTTATTTTTTTCAATTTATATATATTTTTCATTTGTATTTTTTGTTTTTTTTTCCAATTTTCGTTTTTTGGTTTTATAATTTTTTTTTGTATTTTTTAATTTTCTATTTAATTTAATTATTTTATTTTAATAGAACTGAAAATAAAATGGGTATTTGGTCTTTTAACACAAAATTTGTGTTATTCTAGTAAACCACAATATTTGGGTGTTAATCTAGTTATTTTTCTCTAAATTTGAGTCAAACTAGGTAATTTTCAGATTTTCTATTGATGATAGAAAATAATTAATCTAGAATTCAGCTTGAAATTCTCCCAGTTATCAAAATGAGACTGAAAAAAAAATCAAAATGAAAAAGAAAAAAATTCAAATAGATATGAGGGTTTCTTTCAACCATAGAAAGAAATTTCCGATAACTAAAGAGTTCATATTCTATACTAATATATCCATTGTAACTTGACGTTCGAAAATTTTCTCTATTTTCGAAATTATCTTGGCATAAATGTAAGGTCAAAGTGTTTTTTTTTTTTTTTTCATGTACTTTCGGTATTTTCTTGTCATTAGTAATTTAACTATATCTCGATATTTCTTTCTCTGATCAATAAGTTTTAAAGATCCAGGGCTTGTTGTCTTGCTACTATAGTAACCAAATACAGTACACGCACACGTTGACATATTTCACGAACTTGTAGTGTGATTAGAAAAATCAATAAACAAATATGAAATCGTGAAGAGAAAGAGACGATTATTAATCATGATATATGATAAGTGAGTGGGCAATTATATGTAAGAGAGAGATGAAAAAGTTTAGCATGTCATCGATGGATCATAAAACAGTTCAACCTACTAGCATTATAAATTTATAATTAAAATAAATAAAAATAAGGGAATTTATAAAAACTAACTATGGATCAAAAAAAAAATATAGAAACTAGTCATGGACTACAGTATCATGTCAGGTGTGTATATAAAATTACTTAAAAATCATTTTTTCTTATCTTCTAACTCTCGATTCTCTCTCATCCAAAAATAGAATTTGTCAAATTCTCTCCCTCTCTCTCTCCAATAGCTTAAGATATTTCTCATTGATTTCCCTCTCGTCACATCTTTACGCTAACCGGATCTCATTGTCTCCCGTGGAACTCCACCGTCGAAGATAGCTCCATTGTTTACCAATTTTACTTTTCTGGATTTTGTGTGATTATTTTTTATGCACCGGTATATTTCCATTTAACACATAATCTTTCAATATGTCACGCTATTGGTTTTTTCGACATGCTATTTTACAAAAATACATGAGATTTGTCTAAATTACAAGTTGTTTCTTTCGTTATTTTTATTTGATTCATGTCATCTATTAAAATTCCATGATTTTTTAAAATACTGTCATCTATGTATCCATAGTTATTGTCACCATAACCACTTCCCTCACAACGACCACCATCATCAGGTACCTGATTTCGTTATTAACCATGCCAATCGGTCTCTTTACTCCTCTTTAGGAGTCTCTTTGCTCCTCTTGAGGAGTCTCTATGCTTCTCTTTAGAAGTCTATATGCTTTTCTTTTAAGAGTTAAATCCTCTTTTTAATAATAATATGCTCCTTTTTTATTTTCGAGGATTTTCTTTATATTTGGAACCAAAGCTGTCTATCACGTTTTTATCGTGTTATAGACAATAATATGTCATCCGCCAGAGACATAATTTTGTAGAGCATTTTTAGCTAGGACAAGAGATTTCCTATGAACTTTAAGTTCATATGTATTTATACGAGGATCAATAATTTATGAAATCTCATCCATCAGCTTTTTGCATTTGATTTACAATTTATTATGAATAGTGATCTATTTGAACTTTGAACTCTTAAGTTCATATTTATTATAGTCATTTGTTCAAAGATCTTAACTATTCAATGATTCTCCCATAATGATGGGAAACTTTTATCATCAACAAGATAATATGCAAATCTTGCAATAGGCACATCTCTCATAAGATGGCTCAATATTATAGAGCAAAGACTCATCTCTAGCGTCTATATATTTCATCCTTTTAGGATGTTAATTTTTATGCGGTGCAGAGGAGCATTTATATATATCTCACACCCATAAAATTCAAAATGAGAAATATTTGATCTCCAATCATGTATATATAACATTGGAGAAATGATGAACTGGTTATCAACTGGTTATCAAAACTGCATAGTCTCATAGAGATTTTTTTTTTCCTTTTTAGAGATAATTAAACTAAATCAATCTAATTTTATTTAATTAATTAGAAAAGGAAAAAAATCTAAAGCTCCAAATCAAGTGTAACATTGGTAAATGATTACATATTAGTATTTATAATATTATTAATTAATTAAATAAATAAATACATTGGGTTATCGGTTTGGATTGAGAAGAAACATAATCTAATGGTTTGAATGTAAGTTATGGTTTGGTTTGGATCGGTTTGAGTTTCTTTTGTTAGGTTTGGTTTGGTTTAGTACAATTCGGTTAAAATGTCCATCCTAATAATATTATCCCGATCTATTCAAAAATCAAATTATTCTAAAGTTAAAAAATGTTTATAGTGTTCAAATTTTAAAGAACAAAATACACACAAAATAAACTTCGCATAGTTAATTATTGTGATCTAATGGTAAAATAATTATTTAAAGAAACAAAAGATATGTTAATTAATTTTTAGTATGATTCAAATTATGCTTGAGTACCATAAATAAATGTAACAGGAAGAATCTAAGGTTTTTAAAGTATAGTAGTCGCTGAAAAAATATTTACATATCACAATATAAAAATCTAACATTTGTAAGAAATTAAACATATACTAAAAACATTAAATAAAACAATACATTTAAAAGATTTCTTGGATTATGTATTTACCTTTGCTCGTATTTTAGTTGTCTATATTTTATATTTTATATATGCATAAAATATATAAATAACTTTATATTTGTCTATCATAAATACTTATATTAAAACAAATTAATTTACAAAAACTACCGGCAACTTACACCACTTGTTAAATTTACCTCATGCATGTTGTTCTCTAAAAATTATTTGATGTCAAACAAATTCTTCAAAAAATAAATTTTTAATATTTGCCCTGCAGCGTAGCGCGGGTTTCGATCTAGTTTTATTAAAAAGCTTGGAAAGAGATAGGACTTATAGTGAAACACATCGTTGGCCAGTGTCGTTGGCATAAAGTCACGAGGGTTCATTTGAATAAACACAACTCTGATTATGGAAAAAATTAGTATGTCTTGTCAATGTGTAAGAATAGCAGATTTTTCATCTCCTAGCTTTGATGTTTTTTGGATCATGATTTTCGATAATTACACTTGTATATGGCTAATTAGGTCATGAGCTATCCTAATGGGGATGGAGCATTATGAATTACTAAATCAGAGCAGCACTTAAGCCGTGAATCAAGTTTATATATGTCATGTTTTGCTCTTAATTTTATCTACTTCCTGGTGAAGCTCTTTATATACAGGGCCACCATATTGCTGGAATGAACTCAGCCCTCTTTTTAATGCAAAGAGTATGAATATAAAATTTGGTTACAACACATATATAGCAAAGAGTATGAACATAAAAGAACATTGAAGTGTATGCACATAAAGCTTCCATCACAATAACATGAAGGGAACCTCTAAAGGGATTTTGGTCTAATGTATCATATACTGTAGCAAAACTTACAGAAATTGCCACAAAACATTTGTCTTTCTAAATGTGCCATAATGGTGGACAATACTTTGAACCGAAATTTTTTTGTAGATAAGAAATGTTGTCCACCTTTGAAACAACAGATTGAGGAGATATTTGGTGGACAAAATTTTTTGTCAACCTTTGAAACAACAGACTTTTGGTGGACAAGACTTCGAAAGACATACAAAAATTTGGGTTGACAAGAAATGTTGTCTCCCATTATAGCACATTTGGAAAGATTTATGTTTTGTGACATTTTTGCTAAATTTTTGAACAGTAAGTGGCACATTATTTAGATTTCTCTTTTATCAAACACTTACTAGACTTCAATTCTATTTTACAATTCCACTCAAATAGAAACTCTATTAAAAGCCAAACCTAAGCTAAACTCAATGCAACGAACCAAATCCCAGTTATTGTTCAAACTTCAAGACACATGATTCATCATTAGAAAAACTTCAAAACTCCATCCAAGTTTGCTACTTCCGGGAAAAAGAAAAAAAACGAGCTTCTAGAAGAAGATGCATACCTCAATTTTTATCAAAGCTTTGGGAATGATCTTGCAATCACATAGAATCCAATCAAAAACCATGAGAGAAGTTAGAAAATGAAGAAGATCGAAAGAACTATAAACCGGGGGAAGAGGCTAGATTCATACCATAAGAAAGAAAGACGAGCTTCTTTCAGCGAACATAAACTACAAATAGATTCATGCTAGGACCAAAGAAGTTGGTCTAAAACATGCCACCACCGAAAAGGATCTCTACCACCTCCTTGCATCTTCCCTGATAATTACCTACACAAAAAAACAACAACACAATTCATAAAACGCTACAATCAAACACAAGATCACATATTTTTCCAGAAATCTGAAATTTGCAATTCAACAGAATCTCTAGCAAGATAACAACATCAAAGAAGATTTAAATTCTAGCCACAACTCTCTAACTACAAAACAAATTCAACAGTAAATCAAGTCAGACTTATGGGAGATTACATGAATCAAGTCAAAACAACTCAGGAACCTAAGAATCATGGAGAAAAACCAGAGACCGGAAACCCCGCGTCGCCGAGAAATAGAGAGAGAGAGAATCACACGTGTTGTTTTTTTCTGTTTTATTTCTTCTTCGACCAATCCCGTGGCGACACGCGTCCGTCTCTTAACTCATTTTTTTGTCTCTTAACTAAGAGACTTTCCTTAACAATATTGAACATTTGGCATTTAATTTAATTTATATAATTACCTAAGATTTAGCTAAGATTAGTTTAAGAGACTACCAATAAAGGTGGTCTTAGCTTTCTTTTCCTTTTCCCTAAGTGCCGGCTCATATTGGGGAGGGCGGTGAGACGACCCAGGGGCCAATCCCATGTTCCTATAATTAACAAACTCATTTTTAAAAATATATTTTAAAATGTATAAATAAATTAGATTACAACATAAAAATAAAATTTACAGGGGCCTATAATTTTTTTTTATGTATTGTTTTTGGTTTTAATAATTAATTTTTAATAAAAATATCATACAAAATTCTTTTTATAGCAAAATAATATTAAAAAGAAATTAAAGGCCCAAAATGTTTTTGCCCTAAGGCCCATAAAGATGCTGAGCCGCCCTTCACATCATATAATGTATAAGCCTTTTTTTTTTTTTCCTTTTTAATATGTAATTTTTCTCATACAAATCCCAATTTGTTATTTTGAAACCTTGAAATGGGACCTAAACTCTGATATAGTGTTGGGCCTGCTAAGCCAATCTAGAACCAATAAGGCTGCATGCACAACATGACTGGTGGCTGTTTGAATGTGGTTTTTAAAATTTAACGACTAAACATATTGTGATTCATTTTCAAAATTTGTGTGGTTAGGGGGTACACAAATTTTCATCGTGAGGCTTGAGATTAATCTGCACGTTTTAATGATATGCATGTCAGATTCACACTCAAGTATTTATATTATTTGTGGGTTTAAACATTCAAAATTAAAAGTACAAGATAAAATACGTATAAAAATATTATAAAATATATATGCAAAAAGTAGAGAGAAAACGGTTAGTATTGATAGTATGACCAATTAGTATTGATAGTATGACCAGATTTAGATGTCCCTGGTCTAAGGGATACATATTTATACACAATGATTTACATTAATTATCTATTTAATGTGATAATTATCATTAAATGTGTCTGTTTTGATTCAATCATTAATGTCGTAATGTCCTTGTTTGAATTCTTTTAAACCTTCATTGCCTTTTGAGCCTTCGGCCGACTATCCTCTTCCGAACTCTCTCTTCACTTTGTTGAGTTTCCCTAAGCTCTTCGGTTCGTTGGGAAAACACTGACACTTCAGATGTGGATCGATGGAGAAAAGACACGGTGGCTAAGGAAGGGTGATGGCTCAGACAAGCCCTCAGCAGCCGGAACCCCGTGGAAGCCATCTCAAATCCAAAATGGATCTGCCGTTAACCATCGAACACGCATTGAAAAAACCCACCAATCTGTAAGCGTCTTCCGCCGCAGCTACAACGTCTCTATGAGCGGTTGAGCCGTGAAAAACTTCACTGATCTTTACTGACGTCCTCAACCAGGAAAAATCGAAAGAGAAGCCTCTCGTCCGTCGAGAAGGGCCGCCGCTGCCAACGCTTACCGCAAACTCCACACCACTCCAATGCCGGAGAAGATAGCTTGGCTCTTTCATGCTTCGTCTTGCAATTCTAGGACCTACGTTGAAGAACGGAGCCGAAAACCCACTCTAGATCTGAATATTGGAGAAGTTTTGAGAGAAAAAAAAAATAGTAAAAATACGATTATCGAGTTCTTCAAAAAAATTTAATATACTCTGGTAAATCTACAAATAAAAAAATATAAAATATACAAAATCATATAATATACTCGAAAAGTTTTTTTTTTTTTTTTGTCAACCACACATTCATTAAAAACAATTTCATGATTGGTTGCCCAATTAGGAGGAGAAGAGTTTACAAAAGTAACATCAGATCTACTCGAAAAGCTATCTAAATGACAAAAATAAAAAAAATTCTCACATTTCATATTATCAACTTGATATAGAACTACAAAGTTTGGATATCTTTTTAGTCCATTGTTATTATTTTATTGATTAACGGAAGAAATTCAAATCGAAACATAGGCTAATGTTTACCAAATTTTTGGGGGTCTAAAGAAACTTTTTTAGTAGCAGCAAAAAAGGAAAGTTTGCCAATTATTCTCTTTAAAATCAATTTTTTTTTTGAAAAATCAATAATTTTTACCTTCTGTTTATATATATATATATATATTTTATATTTTGACCCTAGTAAATTTTGTTTCTTTGTCCGCCATTGGTCATAACTAGAGGTGTCAAAATGGGTCAAGATTCATGGGTCAACCCAACTCAACTCAATCCATGAACCCTAATGAGTTGAAAATTTTGACTCAAATGAGTTGATGGATCAAATGAGTTATTGAGTCAAATGGGTTTATGAATCAAATGAGTTGGGTTGTAATGGGTCAATGGTTTTAATTGTTTACCCATTTAACCTATCAATTTTTGTTAAATTGAATCAAACCAATTCAAATCTCTAAACCAATTTCAATTTGAGTCTAACCAAAAATTCTAAACCGATTGAATATAGTCTTTAATTTTCCCGCCAAAAATGTGAATACACAATTTTCCCATCAAAATAAAAATTCGTGATTTTCCCGCCAAAAAAAGTAAATCCGCAGTTTTCCCGCCAAAAACGTAAATCCGTGATTTTCCTGCCAAAATTTTTTATAATTTTTAACCAAAAACGAAAATATGTATTTTTCCCACCAAAAAAGTAAATCCGTGATTTTCCCGCCAAAATTTTTTATAATTTTTAACCAAAAATGAGAATGTAAAATTTTCCCGCCAAAAACGTAAATCCGTAATTTTCCCGCCAAAAACGTAAATCTGTGATTTTCCCGCCAAATAATAGTGATGTTGATGATGAATTGATGATGATGATGATTATTATTATTATTATTATTATTCTTATTATTATTATTATTATTATATTTTAATTATTAATTTATTTATTACATTAATAAGTTAATAGGTCAACCCATTTAACTTTCTAACCCATCAAATTAAATGAGTTCATGGGTTAATCTAAATGAGTTGAGTAACCCATAAACTCATTTAACTCTAAACTCATTGGGTAATGAGTTGAATTGAGTTGGGTTAACCATTTTGAAACCCCTAGTCATAACCTTAAATTTATCGAAACTGAAACTTTGAACATGCACAAGTGTTGAGATTGAGTTCTTGATTAAACCTGCAAAAGAGAAGCTTCAAGTGAGAAGAAGATGAAGAAAAGAGAAGATGCAAAAGCAGAGCAAAAGGAGAAGAAGAAGTTGTCGAAGAACAAGAGTCAACGACAAAGGAGAAGAAAGACAAAGTCAACAAGGAAGAAGAAGTTGGGCTTGTGGTTTTTGGAGTGTTGTAATGGGCCTACGAAATAAGTAAGGCCCAGTAAGAAGAATGTTGTTTTTGGTTAAAGTCTAAGTAGTAGCTAGGTGTCTAAAGAGAGTGAATTGAGGGAATTAGAGAGTTAGTAACTAGGAGTGTGGTCTAGTGTGTAAGAGTCATGATGATCTAAAGTATGGTCTAAGTGCAAGTGGTAAGTAGAGAAACCACTATATGTATGTGTGTGTGTTTTGTAAGAAGTGTATCCAAGTTAATACAAAGTAGACAATTAAAGTAAAATGTGTTCTTGTTTTCTCTCTAGAACAAGTGAACACAAACGAGTAAGAAAGTGTGAAAGATAGAGAGATTGTGAGAATTACAACAACAAGAAACGTCATTTAACTATTAAGCATTACTGATTAAGGAGTGAAATTTGGCCAGATTTTAATTGGTTTTTTTTTTTTTTCATCTACTCTAATTGGTTTTGAAATAAATAATTGTTGGCTTATTAGGTATATAGCTTAGGAACCGAATGACTAAAATTTGATCGAATATTTTTATCTACTCTATTAATTTTCTTTCCAATACAAGCTTAACGTTTTTTTTTTTAATACAAGCTTAACGTTTACTATGCAATGCAGTGTATCTTTATTTATTTTGACCCACATTTCTACTGTTATCCACTTGTAATTAATGTAGCTAGCATTGTTTTATTTTTCTTTGTAGCCACTGATTTCATTCCTTTTTTAGAAAGTGGTCTTCCTCTCTTTCCGTTTGAATATTTTATTTTTGTATTGTAAAATTTACTGACCAAGAAAGAAAAAAACCTTTGCCTTCTTCGATTTTGTTCACGCTAAGTATGGTAAATGGTGCGTTCGGAAAGCTAGATTCAAAAAATGTCGTTGGAGCTCGGCTTTATTCTGATCACCACTTTCACTGCGATTGTGTCATGTTTGACTTTGTCTCATGCCTTATTGCATCCTAGTAGCGTGTCTCATAATGTCTCGAGAAGCAGCTATTACTTGACTACCAATGAACTATGGTTTAATCAAACCCTAGATCATGACTCTCCTAATGTAACTTCTCTTCACCGATTTCTTTCCTTCTTTAATTTGACTTTGATCTAATTTTTGTTAGTCATTTAAATTTGGTTAAAAGATAATTATTAGATTCATTGTTCTGGTATCGTAATTTTTTCGGAATGCATATATTTGAGGTACTTTATTTGAATCTTGAGATTTGAAATTTAGTTATTCACAGGATCACCGCAAATTCAGACAGCGATACTATGAATTTATGGACTACTTTCGAGCTCCAGATGGGCCTTTGTTTATGATAATCTGCGGTGAAGGTCCTTGTAGTGGCATA